CTATGTTAATTGTGACATATTCTTGATGTTTGGTAAGATGATTTGTGTGTATTCTTGATAATCTTGATGATCTTGATGATGAAAAGAGGTTCTTGATGCTGATATAATGATTCTTGACAAATCTGGATATTTCTTGATGTTAAAGATAAATTGTGATTTTGATGATTTGGGAGGAATTAGAGCCCTAGGATGAATTGGGAATTTGTGTTGTAATGTTCTTGATTTATATTTGGGTAGGAATTCACATGTTCTGGTGTTGTTTCTATTTAGAAGTCGTGATAGGACGAGTTATATGTGATTCCTGCTTTTGATCCGTTAATTGTGTTTAAAAGTGTCTAAGCATGTTTCGGGTTCCACAAAGGATCCCGGGGCGAAATATTGATGAATGAGTCAGTGGGGGGTAGGTGGGGGTAGGGGTACCCGCCACCTACCCGCTGCCCAAAGATCACCGCCGTGCAGCGGGCAGGCGCCGGGCAGGCATCCGCCTGCCGGCAACCCGCTGCCGGGCAGTGATCTCCAGCGAGCAGCCGGCGGGTGATCCCTCACCCACCGGCTACCCGCTTGTTCGTGATCCCTCCCGGGTCCCCGGATTCCCCGTTTGATGTCCCCCATTCCCCGTGGCATCCCAACGGACCCCGTTTGTCGTACCTAAGTCTAGTTTGATGTTTCGGGTACTGTTCGTAGGATAGGTGAATCTTAGGAATTGCATGCTAGTTGAATTGGTAGCCCGTTGACCTAGGTGGAAGTCGTATGAACCCCTTAGGACAATTCTTAGTATGTGAATGATCACACGTAAGTTTAATTATACGCCTCCCCTTCCCAATGTACTATTATGTGCTATAACGTTTTATGTGATGCATGATTCCCCAATTTGGTTGCGATCAAATTGGCTATACGGGCAGTTGGATGGGTTGAGAACCATACCAATTGTTAACCAGGCCGGTTGCGATCGGTCAGGTATATAAATATTATATGGGGCTGCGGTCCACTGTTTGGCTACTTATGAGCTGCGGTTCATTCTCCTGGCTGCGGTCAGTGATCCACTTCTTGGGCTGCGGTCCACATGGGCCTCGGTGCTATGACCCACCAGACCTGAACGCGCCAGGACGGTGTGTAGTGCCAATAAGCCGAGGAAGGCTGTAGTCCACCGATCCGAGTAATCGGGGCGGTGTGTAGGGCTACGGCTGGCTGCGACCCACCGAGTGATGGGACGACGGTGTGTAGGGCCATAGTCTCCGAGGATCTTCGCCTACCGACTAAGTATAGCTCCACGGTGTGTCGGGCTTGATCCGCTATGGTCCACCGGCGTACCCATCGGCGGTGTGTAGGGTCGTAAGTCCCCCCTTGAAAAGGGGATCGCGATCCACCGACTTGGTGCGTCAGCGGTGTGTAGGATCGGGGTCCGACGTTGAGTTCGTCAGCGGTTCTCAAAGGGTTGGTTGCGATCAACTCCCCTCATACCGCGGTACTGAGGTAGGGTGCTGCGGGGCCGTGTTAATGCTATAAGCATTAATCCTCATGTTCGGGGCATGCGATTGGTCCCGTGGCGCCATCAACGATTATGTGATATGAATGGTGATTGATTGATGATGTTATTTGGAAATTTGGAAAATGTCCTGTGACCTTAGATGCGCACTCCTTATGACGATTATCTCTACTTAACTGTTTATTGTTGATTGATGAGCTTATCCCTATTTGTTGAGTCTATTTCTGGTTTTAAAACTAGTGTCTCTTAAGTATATATCTTCCTGCTTCGAAATGATTTTCATATATCTATATATATCTATCTATAATATATTTCAACGCGTTTGAGTGGGTTACCAGCATCTCTCGCTGAACATATATATTTGGCTTTAAGGCACAGATGAGTAGACACTGGAGCGCGCTAGAGATTTGGAGCGTAGAATAGATAGTTTCCCTTTCGGCCTGCGTGACATGCTTATGTATTGACATTATTGAGGATTTTAGTTAGTTAGCCTGTGCACCCGAGTTCTCCAGCTCAGGTGTGGCATAGCACCCCGTACTCTTACGTTTTATTTTCGGGATTTAATGAGGATTCACCTTTATTATATAAAGCTTTAAATGTTTCAAAAATTTCGGGGTGTTACAATGATTATAGTATTGCACAAGATTGCATATGAGTATGATTATAGTATTGCACGAGATTGCGTATGAGTATGATTATAGTATTGCACGAGATTGCGTATGAGTATGATTATAGTATTGCACAAGATTGCATATGAGTATGATTATAGTATTGCACGAGATTGCATATGAGTATGATTATAGTATTGCACGAGATTGCATATGAGTATGATTATAGTATTGCACGAGATTGCATATGAGTATGATTATAGTATTGCACGAGATTGCATATGAGTATGATTATAGTATTGCATGAGATTGCATATGGGTATGATTATAGTATTGCATGAGATTGCATATGGGTATGATTATAGTATTGCACGAGATTGCATATGAGTATGATTATAGTATTGCACGAGGTTGCATATGAGTATGATTACAGTATTGCACGAGATTGCATATGAGTATGATTACAGTATTGCACGAGATTGCATATGAATATGATTATAGTATTGCACGAGATTGCATATGAGTATGAGTATAGTATTGCACAAGACTGCATATGATTATATCATTGCACAAGATTGCATTTGAGTAGAGTATCGCATGAAAGTACAAAATCAGAATGTTGATTTATGATTATTTTATTGTATTAGAAGTATTGTTTATCAAGTTATGAGATGAGAATGTGAAAGCATGAGAATACCTGTTATATGGTTTATTAGATGAGAATGTGAAAGCATCGGGAAATCAAAACATCAATTAACGAGTCAAAAGAATCACGGGGAACAAATCCCCAACAACCAACAATTGTGTACCCCGCGGGTGGGGCCATGGGTGGACCTCCACCCGTGGTTCCGCCCGCGGGAACCATTCCCACAAGCCACACGTACCCCGCGGGTGGGGCGCCGGGTAGGCCACTGCCCGCCGTTCCGCCCGCGGGTACTACCTGTACCAAAAATAATCCCTTCAGGGATTTTCAACACCAAGTCCAAATTCAAGTCCAAAACACCCAAAATCTCACAAAATACAACAATATGACTTGAATCAAAGGAATAGCCAAGCAATGGCATACAAGAAACCTAATAACAAGCTCTAGATATGCATTCTCACAAGACAATGCATCAAATCTCATATTTCATAACAAAAATCACATGTAGAAGTCAAGAAATCATCATATAGGTAAGAAAATACTTTTTGTAAAGCATGGGTTACCTCTTGTAGCCTACAACTTCACTTATCACACCCTTACAAGCTTCTATCAAGGTTCTCCTTCAACTCAAACTTCATAAACACACCAAAATACAACCAAGATTCCATCTTTTAGAAAAGACACCTTAAAAGGTATTAAAAACACTAAAGGACCAAAGATCTTACCCTCCTATATGCTCAAGGATAAGAAAGTTTGAATCTTGAAGACCAACTTGAAGAATCTTGGAATGCCCAAACTTGGCTTGAAGAAGAAGCTAGCTAAATTCTAGAGAGAAGGAGGAGCTTTTGTTTTTAGGGTGTTAGGGAAAGAAATGAAAGATGACTCTAGGTTAGCTTGGGATACAAACATAAGGTGAAAAGTCTACTTTACCCTGACTAAAGTGGGAAAGTGTAAGGAGACAAGGGAACAATTCATGAAGCATAAGGTACAACCCATTGACTTGGATTGACTAGTCAATCAATTAAGCTAGGATTAATTACTCAATTAATCCTTAAATGGAATTTCGATTTACGGGGTGTCACAGAAGGTGGATTTTACTTGGCTTGGAGAGAATGCTAGCTTTTCTAGAGAGAAGGTAGAGAAATTGTAGGGAGAAGTGGTAAGATTAGAATGGTTTTGTTTTCTCTTGGTTGGGGTATGGTTCTTAGGACAAAATCTGAAAAGTAATATAGAAGTGGGTCCCTCTTGAGTCAAATAAATGCTAGGGAAGGATTAAAGGCTTAGTACGATGCATAAGGCATCATGTACACTTAGTTGACTAGTGAATTAGTCAGCATTTGGTCCCCCGACTATTTAATTAAGGAATTATAAGGAACCATTCACAAAGAGAGCTAGGATTAATTACATAATTAATCTTATTTATGGAATCAGATTTTCGGGGTGTCACAAAGGTTCTGTTCCTTCTTTCGGCGGGAAATCCGGTGATGGGATCTAGTTTGGGATCTTATAACAAATCAGTTAAAGGTCATATCGATTTTTATTTTAATAAAAAGGAGCACCAAAGTTTGAAAAGGACAAAAGGCGGTGAGCAAGTAACATTGGAGGCATGTAAGAAGGAGTTGAGGGAGAGGGCTATGGTGCAATTTTCACAGTGGATGTATGAGGCTGGACTACCATTTAATTGTGTTCAACACACTAAAAGTTTACAAGGCTTTATTGAGTGTGTTGCACAACATGGACCAGGAATGAAGTCACCTTCCTATCATGAAGTTAGAGTGCCATATCTTAAGAAGGAAGTTGAGCATGTTAAGGAGTTGTTCAAGCCACATGAGGAGACATGCAATGCATATGGTTGTTCTTTGATGATGGACAAGGGGACAAATAGGAGAGGTCGTGAATTTATAAATATCCTAGTTAATTGTTCTCTTAAATCGTATTTTCTCGAGTCGGTAGATGTTAGCAAGGACACGGTGGATGCTAACAAAATGCTTGACCTCTTTGGTACTTTTGTGAATCAAGTGGGGAAGGATAAAGTTGTGCAAGTCATATTTGACAATGCTTCAGAGAATGTGAGAGCTGGTATGTTTAAAATATTTGTTTTTTATATTAAGATTTTAAATTTTAAATTTTTTTACCTATTAATTGTTTACATAATTTAGGCAAGGATTTAATGGAGTTGTACCTGACTTTGTACTGGACTCCATGCGCTGCCCATTGCATCAATTTGATGTTTAAAGACATCTTTGAGATTTTCCATTTAGCAATGACCTACAAGCGGGCTTTGAAGTTGTCGGTGTATATCCATTCAAAGACAAAGCTTTTGAATTGGTTGAGGAAGTATACTAGGAAGCGTGACTTGGTCAAGTTTGCTAAGACTCGGTTTGCTACTACATTCTTGACATTCAAGAGGCTTCACGAGCAGAAGAACAATTTGAGGAAGTTGTTCAACTCAAAAGAATTCCTTACTAGCTCTTACTTCAAGGAAGAGGCAGGAAAAGAGTGTTCTAGAATTGCGCAAATGCCAAGCTTTTGGAATACAGTTCTAGAAGCACTTAAAATAAGGAGTCCATTGATTAGCACCCTTCCATTAGTTGATGGGGATGTTAAGCCATCAATGGGCTATATTTATCCTACGATGGAGATCACAAAGAAAGCAATTGAAAAAGCTTTCGACAACCACACAAACAAGTATAATAAGGTATTTGAGATCATACACAAAATGTGGACTTCCCAACTTCGTCAACCATTGCATGCAGCTGCGTATTACTTGAATCCAGATTACTTCCGGTATAGGGGTGAGCCACAGATTTCTCCTACAATTAATTCGCCAGAAGTTGTTGCTGGCTTTTATTCTTGTTTGGAGAGGTTGGTTCGAGATCAAGATCTGCATGACAAAATTACCGAGGAGATAACAATAATGTGGGAAACCGGGGATGGTTTGTTTGGCTTGCCAGTTGCCAAGAACCAACGCGGTTCTAAAGCTCCAGGTTCTTACTTCTTAGACAATTTAACTTACAATTTTTATTTATAATCAAATTTTGAATAATTTTTAAATTTTACAGTTAATTGGTGGACTTCTTTTGGGGGTTCAGCTCCCCATTTGAAAGAATTCGCAATTAAGCTTCTTAGTCTTACGACTAGTGCGTCCGGATGTGAACGGAACTGGAGTGTCTTTGAGCATGTAAGTTAGTCAATTTACTAGTAATTAACAATTATAACATATTCAAGCACTAATTCATTTTAAATATTCCAGTTGCATTCGAAAAGGAGGACTCTCCTTGAACACATGCGCCTTAATGATTTGGTTTTCAATAAGTATAATAAGGCATTGAGGCAACGATGGGAAATGCGGGATACAATTTATCCAATTAGTTTGGATCAAATTGATTTTGCCAATGAATGGTTGACAGGTATCCCAGGTGATGCAAATGAGGAGTTGGTGTTTGGTGATGGGGATAGCTTGACTTGGGGTGACATTGCTAGATTTTTGGGTGCAAATGAAACTCCTTATTCTCTTAGGCGTGCTTCAAAAGGAAAAGAAAAAGTTGGGAGTTCAACTTCAAGGTCTAAGGGAAAGGAAAAGGTGAATGAAGATGAAGATGATGAAGATGAGGAAGAAGCATGTGAGGATGATGGAGATGTGGAATTTGACAATTTGGATTTGTGTGAAGAAGAAGATGAGTTTGATTTGGAGGATTGAATGACTATGAGTCTATGAATGATTGTGTTGTGACTTGTGACTTTATGATGTTGTGTTGTTATGATGTTGTGACTTTATGATGTTTGTATTATTATGATGTTGTCACTTTATCACTTTAGGAGTTATTTTGGATGTTATTTTGCATAATTATTTGAAGTTTTTGACTATATATACGTATAATTTATATATATTAAAAGCGTCGCTTTTTATGAAAAAGCGACGCTTCGTTTTGTGCTTTCGCTTTAAAGCAAAGCCCGACCTTGTCGCTTTAGTGTGCTTTTCCGCTTTAAAACGTTTGGTACTAGTAGCAATAGAATTCTGTTTCTTACTAAACCATGATACGAGTCTTCCCCCTAGGAACTGGCAGGTTTCAGAGGTACTCTTTCGATCAATTCTACATCCAGCAAAATCTGCGTCTGAATAACCAATCAGGTCGAAGGACCCATCTTTCGGGTACCAAAGACCAACACTTTGGGTTCCCTTTAGATATCTTAGAAACTTCTTCGCAGCGCTTAGGTGACTTTCTTTTGGTTTAGCTTGAAATCGTGCACATACCGCAACAACGAAAGAGATGTCTGATCTACTCGTTGTGAGGTATAAGAGAGATCCAATAATCCCTCTATACTTTGTTTGATCCACATCTTTTCCCTCATTATCAATTTCCATACGCAAAGATGTGTTCATTGGAATTTTGACAGATGTTTTTCCATCGATTCCAAACTTTCGTATTAGATCTTTCGTGTACTTTGCCTAATTGATGAAAATTCCATCAGGGCATTGTTTAACTTGTAACCCAAGAACGTAGTTTAGTTCTCCCATCATGCTCATTTCAAATTTTCCTTGCATGAGTTTTGAGAACTTATCACATAGTTCCGGATTTGTACATCTGAAGATAATATCATCAACATATATTTGCACAAGAAGGATATGATCACCGTCTTTGATATGAAAGAGGTTTTTATCAACCACTTCTTTCGCGAATCCACAATTTATAAGGAAAAATGATAGAGTACCATACCAAGCACGTGGTGCTTGCTTTAGGCCATATACTGCTTTCTTTAAGGGATATACTTTATCACTATCAATGTCAGTTATGAACCCTGGAGGTTGTTCCACATAGAGTTCTTCTTCAAGAAGTGTAACACCCCGAAATTTTGAAACTTTTAAAACTTATATAATAAAGGTAAATTCTCATTAAATCCCAAAAGAGAGTATTTCTAAACATAAGAGTACGGGGTGCTATGCCACATCTGAGCTGGAGAACTCAGATGCACAAGCTAAACTAACTAACTATCATCGATACATCATTGTGGCACGCAGGACAAAAAGGAAAACTATCTATCTACTCCAAGCTCTTCTAGCGCGCTCTGTGAACTAATCAGCGGTACCTAAAAGCCAAATATATCTGTTCAGCGAATGATGCTGGTAACCCACTCTAACGCGTTGAAATACCGTATAAGTATATATATATATATATATATATATATATATATATATATATATATATATATATATATATATATATATATATATAAGAAAAGTCATTTTGAAGCAGGAAGATATATCCTAAGAAACTCTAGTTTCAAAACCGGAATAGACTCGACAAATAGAGACAAGCACATTCAACAGTTATAAACAACCATGTAAAGACACTAGCATATATCCTATGGGATAGGCACATTCAACAGTTGTAACCAAGCATGTAAAGATACTAGCATATATCCTATGGTCACAGATTCACTTCATCTCATGTATATCATCGTTCAACTCATCACACAAGCACACTTTGTTGGCACCACAGGACCAATCGCATGCCCATACATGAGGGTCAGCGCATATAGCTCTGACACGGCCCCGCAGCACCCTGCCTCGTATCGCAACACGAAGCGGTCGATCGCAATTGACCGATGAATCGCAGCTCATCATAATGTTTGATCGCAACCAAACAGTGGACCGCAGCCCAAGAGTGATCATCTGACCGCAGCCAGGAATATGAACCGCAGCTCATGTAAAACGTTTGATCGCAACCAAACGGTGGACCGCAGCCCGAGAGTGTAATTCTGACCGCAGCCAGCTTCTGAACCGCAGCTCAGGAATAACCAATTTGATCGCAACCAAATTGGGGCATCATGCACACATAAAACATAGCAAGCACATGCAACCCATATTAACACATTGGGAAAGGGGAGAAAACGTATAATGAAACCTATGCGTGGTCATCCACATACTAGGAATAATCCTAAGGGGTTCATACTTCTTTCACCTAGGCCAACGGGATACCAATTCAACTAGCATGCGATATATATATATAAGACTCATTTATCCTACGAATGATACCCGAAACATCAAACTTGAATTTAGGCACGATAAACGGAGTCCGTTGGGAGACCACGAGGGTCGGGGAAACATCAAACGGAGGAAACCACCATCCCGATGTGGGAAAACCAGCGGGTGGCCGGCGGGTGGAGGACCACCCGCCGGCGGCGAGAAACCAGGCAGCGGGTGCCCGGCGGGCAATCGCTTGCCCGCCGGCTGCCCGCTGCCGGCGACGCTCGAATGTGGCAGCGGGTAGGTGGCGGGTTTCCCCTACCCCCCACTGACTCATTATCACAATAAACGTCCCGGGATCCTTTGTGGAACCCGAAACCATGCTTAAACACTTTTAAACGCAATTGATGGCACCACGTAGACAATTAACGGATCAAAAGCAAGAATCAAATATCACATATCCTATCATGATTTATAAGCATAATTAACACCCGAACATGCGAATACCCACCCAAATATATCAAGAATACCACAATATGAATTTCACGATTTATCCTAGGGCTCTAATCATATTTAAATAATCAAGATCATAGTTCATCTTTTAACAACAAGAAACATCAAGATTTATCAAGAACATCACATAATCATCAAGAACCTCTTATCATCATCAAGATCATCAAGATCCCACATAAAATTATCCCATCAATTATTAAGATCATATCATCAATATTATAAACGATTCATCACGACACTAGCGTAGAGGAGAAGCCAAAGAAGATAATTATAGCAAAGAAAATAGGTTTTGTTAAGACATGGGTTACCTCTTAGCCTTAATTAATCCTCCTTGGCTATTAAGGTTCTTCCCTAAGATTTCCATCCGTTTGATCTCCCTAGGCTTGATGGTGGGGAGTCCTTTGGGAATTCTTGTGTGGTGATATTTATTGTGGTGTGACTTCTAGGTGCCTCCTATGTCCTTATATATATATATCTAGGAGTCCTAATTATGGTCTGAATGGTATGTGTTTACGAATTCTATTCCTTATAGGACTAAGGACTTGGTTTAGGGATAAGGGTCCATGGTCCCTAGTGGACCATATTAATTAATTAAAGGGAATCCTAATCATAATCTGAATAGTAAAGGCCTACTTTCTTCATTCCTAATAAATAATTAGGTCTATGACTCCTAATTAGAATCTGATTAGTAAAAAGGTTTACTCACTTTATTCTTAATAGGCTTAAGACTCTAGTTTAGGCAAGGGTCCACGATCCATGGTGGACCACATTAATTAAAGGGAATCCTAGCCAAATTAAATCCCTTTTTAATTATTATTAAAGGAATTAATTAAATAATTAATCCGGGATTGAAGGCCGTAACACGGGGTGTTACACACTCTCCCCCTTACAAGAAGCTTCGTCCCCGAAGCTTAGAAATCATTTTGGGGTAAAGAGCCCGAATTAGTATAAAGAAAATATTATACGGGAGATATATACATATACACATATAAATTTACTGGGTTTAAGCCTAACTATTGTGCTAGAAAAATGCATCAAATAATAAGACTATGAATATGCAACTCACATTATGTTAATTTTATGGATGAATGATAACATAACATAGAAGTTTTACACATGGCATGTTCATTGTGTAATTAATTTTATAATGATTTAACACATAGGATCACAAGTTGCACCGATTGTTTATTTATGTACCTATTTAAGAGGCAAATACTACGTGTGTGCAGATTCGGATAGTCACATAATTATTATAAAGCACATATGTACATATTTCAAGCTGTTAAATAATAACTAGTCTTATGGAAATCATAAAACACACGTATGTATTATTCAACATGTTAAACTAGTGCATGATTAACAATTAAATTCGTGTACTCAACGCCATGTCATAATCAGATGATTGTTATATAAATTAAGGAAAGTCATAGATCATATAACAATTATTCAAATAGTGAAGATCAGATTTTGAGGAAGGTTTTTAAGTAGTTTTAGGAGGGAGGCTCTTGCTTCTCATGTGGTAAATAACTTCTGGGGAGACAGTAGAATTA